CTTTGGGTTGCCCGTATCCTGTGTTGGAGTCCCTGGGTTCGTATCCCAACTCTGATCCTGCTAATGTGTGCCCTGGAAGGCAGCAGGTGATAGCTCAAGTACTTGGGTCCCTGCCTTCATGTGGGAGACCCAGACTGAGTTCCTGACTCCTGGATTCAGTCCAACTCAGCCCTAACTTTTGCAGGCATTTGGCAAAGTGAGCAGGTAGATAGCAGATTTCTCTCTCTCGCTTTGTCTTTCTGCCTGTTAAATAAACAAATAATATTTTAATGACTCTAACTATAGTGAAAGGTGCATATCTTACAAACATAAAAACAGGTTCAAGGGAGCAGACATCTGGCCCAGCAGTTAAGACCCCCACAGCCCACTTCAGAGTGCCTGGGTATGTGAACTCAAACAGGGTTAGCATGCAGCTGAGCGTTTGCCTGTTGAAAAATTTGTCTTCTGAATTTTGTTAAGTCTGACTTCTTAGGTCTCACCTGAGAGTCATAGGTCCATGCATCCCAGAGTGGGCAAAGCAGGTTCCTCCCCAGTGGCGCCCCTGCCAGCCGGCCTTGGCATTTCTGTCGAGTTATTGCGTTGAGCTCCTGGGAGTTTTTTTATGCCATCTTTTTGAAATAGGAAGTTACTTCATTCATTTTTTTTAAAGATTTATTTATTATTTGAAAGGCAGAGTTACAGGGAGGCAGAGGTGGGGGGTGGGGGGTATCTTCCATCCGCTGGTTCACTCCCCAGATGGTCACAATGGCCCGAGCTGTGCCCATCCAAAGCCAGGAGCCAGGAGCTTCTTCTGGGTCTCCCACGTGGGTGCAGGGGCCCAAGGACTTGGACCATCCTCTACTGCTTCCCCAGGCCGTAACAGAGAGTTGGATAGGAAGAGGAGCAGCCGGGACTCAAACCGGCGCCCAAATGGGATGCCAGCACTCCAGGCGGCAGCTTTACAGCTTTACAGTGCCAGCCCATTCATTTGGTTTTTAAGTGAACATTCGTAGTGTTGATCAGTGTGGTTTACTTTGTGTCTGACCTGTTTGCAAGCAGCTTGGGAAAACTTGGGAGAGTGCAGTGAACTCATAATTTAATTTGCAGCCTGGTAAGTGAAATGAAGGCTTTTGACTCATTGAGATTGTGAGAGAGACGCTGAAGCCGCCTTTGTTCTTGAGAGTCATGAGCGTGTGTTGCTCTCCTTCCCCAGCCCTGGGCTCCCGACACCGGCCAGACCTGGTGCCCAGCACTCCGTCGCTGTTTGAAGCTGCCTCCCTGGCAACCACCATTTCTTCTTCTTCATTGTACGTCAATGAGCATTACCCCCACGACAGGACTACGCTTTACTCACACAGGTAACACTTAGGCCTCCCTGCCACGCTGCGCCCACGTCAGCAGCAGGCCCAGGCCCGTGTCCCTGATGGAGGATGCAGTTTCCCTGAGGACCAGGATGTGCCCACCACTCACTCACCGGAACAAAGTCAAAGCGTGTGTGGTTGTCACTGCAGGAAAAGTACCTGTGAGGGAAAAACTTCCTGTGTTTGCCTTTAAATTAATCGTGTTGTATAGAAATTGTAGACTGGGCTCTATACTTCTTATTTAGGAATTTCTTATGAATAGCTTTTTTTTAAGCAAGTACTCTTGGTTAGTATTACACAGTTAGCTGCAAAGGTATTTTAGTGTCCTTCTTTTTATAGGTGTGGGCTTAGTAATTATGGTAGACAGAATAATGCTGCCTGCCCACCCAAAGTTGTTCACCTCCCGATTCCTGGAACCCAAGAATACATTACCTTAGACAGCGGGAGGGATTCTGCAGAGGTGGTTAAGTTAAGGATTCTGAGATGGGAAGAGATCTGTGAATTACATGGAGAGGCCCAGAGTAATCACAAGGTCTTTATAAAAGGAGGTAGCAGGGGCACAGCCAGGTGACTGCAGAGGCAAAGGTCAAAGCAGGAGGGAACATGAATATGCCGCTCTGCTGGCTTTGAAGATGGAGAAAGGGACCATGGGCCAGCAAATGCAGGTGAACTCTAGAACTTGCCAAGGGCAAGAAAACGAATTCTCCCCTTGAGCTTCCACAAAGAACCCAGCACTGCCAACAGCATGCATTTTAGGGCCTCACCCCCAGTGCTGGAAGGGAATCCATTTATGTTGTTTTAAGCCTGTGATTTATCACAGCAACAGCTGGAAATTCATACTCTGACTCTCAAACATTCAACTTGAGCTTCAGCGATAGCGCATGTTCCGGAAATGTTTTAGGTACAAAGGTAACTTTTGTTTAGAATTTTACCCTTTTAAACAAAATATACTGGAATGTTGATTCTAGTGATAGAAAATGACATTTTTTTAAAGATTTATTTATCTGAAAGTTAGAATTACTGGGGGATGCGGTGTGGAAATAGAGAGATCTTCCATCCACTGGTTCACTCTCCGAATGAGCCAAGCCCAAGCCAGGAGCTTGGAGCTTCACCTGGTCTCCCACCTGGGTGCAGGGGCTCAAAGACCTGGGCCATCTTCCACAGCTTTCCCAAGCGTATCAACAGGGAGCTGAATCAGAAGTGGAGCAGTCAGGACTTGAACCAGTTCCCATATGCGATGCTAGTGTTATAGGTGGCAGCTTCTCCTGCTACACCACAGTGCCAGCCTCAGAAAATGACATCTTTACAAGGATCACAACATGGTCTATGAAATTCACTCTTGTAGCCTCTGTTTTTCATATATGCAGTTAAATAACAAACTTAATTTCAGGTGAGGGACTAATAGATATAGGCCTTTAGTCATTATCTGTTGAATGTGCAACTAATTCTTGTTGAAATGGAGCTCTCGAGAATCAAGATCAAATGTATGCAGGTGAAGTATTTCTTATACTCTTAGTCATCGTCCTCCTCTAGGCTAACGGCTCAGTTTGCTTCCAGAATGACAAACAGTCTGGTAGAGTCACTTCTACTATGCACGTGTCCTTAGGGTCTAGCTTGACCTTTTGCTAAGTTAAAGTTGGGTAGTTGGGCATGCTATAGTAATTGCTTTTGTGGCTTGGCTGTGCCCTTCTATCTCTGCTAGTTACCAAATTTACCAAATTGGGTAGGTAACAGGTCAGTAAGTCAAGTTAGGTGTGGACAAGAAACAGCTGGCAGGGGAGACGCAGATCTTGGCTGAGCTTGAGTTTCAACTGTGCTGTGCTAAAGACCAACAATAAGGCTCCATTACGTGTTATTTAACTCATTGGAACTATATGAAATTCCTTTGTTTGGTTTGGCTTCTTTGGACTGGAGAAATTCTAAGTCATTTATTCCTAATACTATCATGCACTTTCAATGTTCAGATTTGTAATATACATCAGTCAAGCAACAGTTTTTTGTATCTGTGTGGAGCAGCTGAACATGTGGGTCTGTGTAAAGCTCTTTTGCTCTCAAGAACAAATAACAGTTCAAAAGCTAGCTGTAAAGTCACAGGAAGCTGTTAGCAAGGTCAAGAACAGATCCCATGTGAAGCCATGGTGCTTTCTCAGTTTGATACTGGTGTAATAATGAGGGGCGTATAACTGGGTGTGCTCTTGCATCATTTAATGGAATGTCAGCACAGAATTAAAAGTGATTTTTGTTTGGATATCGGTGGCAGCAGTGGCTGTGGTTAAGTGTGCAGTCTGTTGGCCAGAGGCCTTAAACTCTCAGATATTCATAAGGTTCCCCCATGATTCAGCCTCCTACTGACTGCCAACCCTTCCTGGCCGTCTTAGAAGCAACCTCTGCATGCATGTCCTACCTATCCATGGTCCCAGAGCGGTGCTGGCATTCTTGCTCCTTTTATTTATGCAAACATGGCTACCATATAGATTCCAGTGGGTAATATTAAAACTCTGTTACCTATCCCTTTACTACTTTAACATTTTAGTTCCAAGTTGCAGTTTGATTCAAGTTAGCAGTCCAGGTTCATTTGCAGGAACAGGAAGCCACACTCTTAAGTGGAAAGGGTTTTAATCCAGGAAGGCCAGGGGAGTGGACTCCGGGCTGGCGTCAGGAAACCAGTCCCGGAACATGCCACTGAGCTGACCCACCAGCAGCCCTGCAGCCTGATTCCCCGGCAAGCAGGTGCCCTGCTAATGGGATGCTCCCCAGGCGAAGGATTTGGTGTGTCCAGGTAAAATGAGCCAACATTGAAAAATCAAGCAGATTCACTGAGGTACAGATATTCTTTTGAAACACCTGTAGCCTTGACTCTACCCGGCTGCGTTTCCCCTTGGTGCTTTGCAGCCAGAGGGGAGAACCCTGGAACCCCGGGGCCACCAACCTCTGCTGCACTCATTGATGGCAATGTCATCCGCCTGCTCCAATCGCTTTTAGCCTTGCTGTGCATATGCAAAGCCAGAAGCTGTGTCTGAGATCTTAACTACTGCCTTAACACACGTACAAGAGGCAGCAGCGGCCAGGAGACTGTGGAGGAGACTGACGGCACAAGGACTCTGGAGACCCTGTTCCCCTGACCCATTATGTCCAACTCTAATTATGCAGCAGGGAAACCTCACCAGCAAGCAATGACAAAATTGTCCTGGCTATGTTTCTGTCATCTTCTCCTTTAGTGCCCTCCTCGTCCTGTGTGGTGGTTCTTGAGGCAGTAAGTAGACAGGACTCCACATCTTGACCACTAAACCTCATCCAGATACACGAGAAAGAAAATACACAGCAGGGTGGGGGAGAGAAACAAATGTATTGGATACTGACGTTGTAATTCACATGTGAGAGTGTTCTCTTTATGAATTATTTTTTGTTGTTCAGTGGTCTGTTTTTTCATTTTGACTTTATGCCATGCATGTCTGTGCTGAAATAAGCGATAAGTACTTCAACTAGCAGTTGTTATTGTGTTGGTCTTTTTAGAATCCTTATCTGGGCAAGGTATTGGTTAGTACCAGATATCTCCACACCTAAATTATATACTACAGCAGGAATCTGCTCTCTGTCTCAGAATTACTCCTTCTCTCTCTTAAGGATTATTTTTTTCTAACTTCAAAATATCCAATAGCTATTCATTTTTCAAAATATGTACTCTGGGGGTCAGTACTGTGGTGCAGTGGGGTAAGCCACCACCACCTGCAGTGCCAGCATCCCATATGGGCACCAGTTTGTGTCCAAGCTGTTCCACTACTGATCCAGCTCCCTAGTAATGTGCCTGGGAGAGCAGTGGAGGATGGCCCAAGTCCTTGGGCCCCTGCACTCACATGGAAGACCCAGAAGACGCTCCTGGCCCCTGGCTCCTGGCTTCTGCCTGGCCCAGCCCTGTCCATTGCAGCCGTTTGGGGAGTGAACTAGTGAGTGGAAGATCTCTTTCTTTCTGTCTCTCCTTCTCTCTCTCTCTAACTCTGCCTTTCAAATAAGTAAATAAATCTTTAAAAAAAATAAATATTTATGTGAAAATTGTCTAGAAAACAAGAAGAAAAAATAGTGTCTTCTTAAAATTATATCTGGAGAGATCAGCATCGTGGCACAGCAGGTTAAAATGCCACCTGCGACACTGGCATCCTATTTGAGTGCTGGTTTGAATCGCAGCCGCTCCACTTCCAATGCAATTCCCTGCTGATGTTCCTGGGAAAGCAGTGGAAGATGGCCAAGTTCTTCAGCCCCTGCCACCCATATGGGAGACCCAAATGAAGATCCTGGCTTTGGCCTGGCCTAGCCCTGACCATTGTGGCCATTTAGGGAGTGAATCAGCAGATGGAAGATCTTTTTCTTTCTCTCTCTCCCTCTCCCTCTCTCTCTCTCTTTCTGTCTTTCCCGCCATCCCTCTGTCCCTTTGTCACGCTGCCTTTCAAAAAAACAAAACAGCTGACTGGACATACGTCTGTCACGTTCTGCTGTACAGTCTTGCTTGAGAGCATGCAGAACACATAAGAATTCCCTTGCTTATTTTCCTGCTGAACTTTGGATTTTTTTACTTTTTTTTTGTTTAGCTCTATTTAATTAAGCATTTGGCTATCATGTAAATTAAAAACATTTCTCAGAAATAATAAATTAAATATGGTTTTAAAAAAACTTTCATGGGTACTTGTTTCCCAGTTAGGCAGTGGGATTTATGTTTTGAATTTTTGATACCTGAATTTTTCTTTCCTGGTAAAAAATTTGTTCTTTTTGTTTCCAAATCAAAAGTGGATGCTTGTGTTTGTGTGTGTGTGTGTGTTGTGTAAATTTTTAATAACTTCCAGTGTTTGTCTTGCTCTGCTGGGCTTTTTTCACTTAACATGATGATCTCCAACTTGCATCCATTTTGCTGCAAAGATCAGGATTTCACTCTTTTTTATGACTGAATATTATTCCATGTTTATGATCAGTTCCTCCATCAATATTCTCCTAGATTGATCCATATT